CGGCAGGGCGCGTGCTCGGTGCCCTTGCTCGCGTCGGCCTTGTCCAGCTGCAGCTGCCCCTTCGGCCGCACCACCGGAGTGCCGCTCACGACGACCGACGAGGCTCGGCCGTGGTAGCCGACCGGCAGGTGCAGCCAGTTGGGCTGCAGCGCGTTGTCCTTGCCGCGGAACATGACGCCGACGTTGGTGGCGTGCTCGCGCGACGAGTAAAAGTCGGTGTAGTCGCCGATCGCTGCGGGCAGGTGCATCGCCACCTCGGCGCGCGGCACGAGGCACCGGCGGCGCAGCTCGGCGCTCTCGCGGAGCGCCGGGTCTGCGCCGTCTCGCGCGAGGAGCTGGGTGAGCGCCGCGCGGACGGCGAGCCACTGGGCGCGCGGCTGGGCCATGAAGGCGTTGAGCGTCGCCTCCGCGAAGACGGCCGCACACGCGCAGTGGTCGATGAGGCCCTCGGCGAGCAGCGCCTGCATGTCGAGCACCGACTCGCCGATCGCGACGCCGACGCGCGGCGAGCGGCCAGAGAGGGTGTGGCTGAACACGCCGAAGGGGAGGTTCTGCACCGGGAACTCGCTGCCGTCCGCTCCGTCCACCCAGGAGAGCAGCAGCATCTCGTCGCCTTGATGGAGGGAGAGGTCAGTGCAGTGTGACACCCAAAGGTGTTGGACAACGGTGACACGAGGGCTGGGGGTGTGAAGGGCATAACCATGGTTGCGTGCAGACAATGGAGATAGAGCAGCCCCGGAGCGGAGGCCCGCCCGGGGTATTCAGTGTGTCGCGGGCGCCTAATCGGGATTAATTCCGTCGGGCGCCTACGAATTTACGTTTGCCGTCGGTGTTTCGCAAGCGCGCCTGGCGGCGGCTTGTGCTATGCCTGCTTTAGAGCCCGACGGGAACGCGGGAGCTATGGTCTGGGACATGGGCTGGCCTTCGTGCTGGGGCCAAGGCTTTGCCTCGTTGCCCGCAGTCGGTGCCCTTTGCCTCGTGTTGATGCAAGGCTTTCCGGGGCTAGTTGGCAACAACCTCACCATGGAGTCAGACCAACTCAGCCTACCCATTACGGTTGGCGGGGCCTCCGGCTGCGTCATGAGCGCAGCTCTCACCGCCACCAGCCCCTCCAAGTACCCCAGGGCGATTCTCGAGTTCGTCCTGCCCGCGCTCATTGTGACCACGGCCTACGTTCTGTTGCTGACAGGTGGGGGTGAGCACCACACCACGGGCGACAAGAAGGGGGGATCGCGACCCTCGACCACCAGGGGCAGCGACTACCTGTCCCTGCTCATCCCACGGTATGTGGGCCAATCGCGCCGGGCATTTATCGGGAGCCTCTTGTTCTTCCTCACGTTCCTGGTTGCAGCAGCAGATGCTGTG